ATCTATTAAGTGCGTGTATATATAATTATAATATATATAATAATATAATAATATAATAATAATATAATATATAAATAATTTATTATAAGTACTGCATAAATTGATGAATCATTTTTAAATTTTGCCGTAACATAATCTTGAGATATCCTTCCTACCACATTTGTTCATAACTAGCCAAATAAGCGTCACCCGAATATGGGTGAAGAGGCAGTCAAAACGTGTTAAAGAAACTGTTTAATATTCGTAAATCGATAGAACGATCGGGAGAAAGAGATATATGTTTTCGGCCCAACTCTGTATATAAGCCGTCCGATCAAGTTTCGAAAGCCATAAATCTTCCTTCTTACTTTAACCAGACGTCTTTTTCCGTTCGTCCGTCCGCCTGTCGGAAGAGAATCGCGCCTTTGAAGCAGCGGCACATTTCTCGTTCCAAATTCCCCCGCCGGTGAAAATGTAAAAATGACCGCGGGTCGAGCCTCGAGTCTTCTCCTCCCGTTCTTTTTATCGTTCTCCCTCCTCCTCCTCCTCCTCCCCACCCCTCGATCCATCTTTCGAAAAAGCCAGACCGACCGGAGGAAAGATTCCCTGTCGTTTCATCTGTCGGCCCATCGCAGAAAACGATATCCAGTATACCCTCTTCCCGACGAATTAAACAAAATCTCGACTCGCGTCTTCCGTTTTTCTTTCTTTCTTTTTCTTTTTTTTTTTTTCCGCTATGGAAATGGTTCGAAATTCTTCCCTTTGGAAATTCTCGTAAGAGCACGGCCCACGGCAAATCCGCGTTATATATTCATGAACGGTTAACCGGGGGTTTAGACGATGGAAGGAGAGAGGGAGAGGGAGCCGTGTGAAAGAAATGGAAGGTTTCTTTCTGGGGGGGGGGGGAGAAGGAGAATGGAGGCGTCTTAAAATTCGCGCGTGTTGGCGTTCCAACAACAATGGATCAAAGGAGTTTCGCGGGGAACCGCGTCAAGGGTGAGGGGAGGGGAGGGACGCGTGTGAAGTTTTGATCAGAGCGGCGACGTTAAACTTGCCGACATTCCTTCGAATTGGATTTCCCTTCCACGGAGGTGAGCGGTTGCTGCGATGCTTTTCTCTACCCGAGCTTTTCTGTAGAATCGCGATCCCGCGCCTTTGTTTATCAACCGAGACGCTCTCGCCTCTCGTATTTCGCCAGGGATTATTCTGAATAATGCACGCATTTTTGAAGTAATCGTGCCTGCGAGAGAACGAGAGGACGACACATGCGCGTAAGCAAGGAAATTAATCATCGTTTCATCGTTCCCTTTCGATCCAGTGTTATACTCTTTTGAACGAGTATTTTAATGGTAATTCAACTCGATCGACGGGAAGGCAAGGAAAAGAATGGAAGGACGGTTTGATCCTTTTTTCGCTCGGCCGAAATAACAACATCGCACCACATTCAGTTTTCTTAGCTAACTTGAAAATAATTTCACACGCGAATCAATTTTTATATAAAAGTTTATATAAAAGTTTTATATTTTAACGTTTTACGTGTAAAGAAGGAAAATTTGTCGAATATTAAAATCTACATAATCGTTGTTTCGCGCGATATTTTAATAATAATTATCAAGATGCATCCTTAATTTATTAGGACAAGTATGTGTTCTTACATTCACATTCGTCTATTATTCTTATTTTTCATCTTCTTATGCTATATCTCTATCTTGATCACTCTATTTTCCTTCTCTATCCTCAATTTCTTAACGAATATAAATAATTTCGTTATTCGATAACGAAAAATCAAACTTATCCTTGATTTTAATTAATTTTACCATATTCCATACTGACAAAAACTTTGTAAAAACTTGAAAACCAACGCCGAAATTATTTTACGTTTTAAAAGATCTATTTGATATTTTAAAAAATCAAACGAAAAATAAATATCGTCACCTCTCGAATTAATCGAGCGATGCCTTCCACCGCTTAAAGGTTAAATTTCGATCGGTGTACGAACATATTCCGATCCGTATTTACGTTAGTTTAAAAATGAAAGGCAGACGAAAGAGCGGAGCGAGGAACGGGTACGGATAAGTGGAGTGGGGGGCGATGTTGCCGAGTGAGCCGATATTGCCACATTGGTTAAAGGACAAATGGGAGAGAGTCGTTTCGCGTCGAAGGGTAACAACGCGGCGATCCAGGAGGAGTAGTTACGCCGAATGGATTCGCACGAATGCAAATTTGCGGTTGTCGGGTATTATTCGGGTAGTTGGCCGGTCCGTGAGCATGTCTCGTTCGCGCATCGTAGATGGAACGTTAAAAGCGTGCTTGCTCTCCCTCTTCCCCCTATCCTCCGAAAATAATACGAAATAACAGGAGAACGACGAGGCGCGGACGTGTAAACGGATTTTGAACGGGTTCGATCGAAACTGGGAGGAAATGTTCGTTCTTTCGACGTCGAAAATGTGTGTGGAACGTTTGCCCTTAGATTTTTTTTTCAACTCGACGATTAATCCTTCGTGATGATTGCACACTCGGGCACCGTTTGGATCGATGCGACAATTCGAACGGCGACGATATTTATTTAAAACAAATTGTTTGATTTTTTAAAATATCTTTTCGCAAATAGATTATTAAGCTTTTTACGTATAATATATTATAAAGCGTAGAATAATATATCGTCAAATGGATTTAGATTTTTTAGATCTAAAAAAAATTAGATCGTGATCGTAAATGTATAATGTTGATACGAGTTTGACAGTCATAGCAATAGAAATATTATTTTTTCAGTTTTGTAAGCATAGAAATACGATAATGAAATTTATTCGAGCGAGAATGAGTTTGACTTTTCATTATTTAATAACGAAATTATTTATATTCGTTAAGAAAGTTACGATAGAGAGAAGGAAAATGAAGATGAAAAAGATGAAATATGAAAGGTGATAAAGGTGAAAAATAAGAATAATAGACGGTGAATGTGAGAACACGTTATTGGGATATTAGTTCAAGATATTTCGTTATTGAATAACGAAATTATTTCTATTCGTTGAGAGGAAAATAACGATGAAGATAAAGATATAATATAAGAAGATGAAAAATAAGAATAATAGACAGTGAATGCGAGAGCACGTTATTGGGATTTTATTATCGCGATACTTGCCCTGACAACCAATGCATCTTGGTAATTACATTATTATTAAAATATCGCGCGAAAAAACGATATGGATTTTAATATTCGACTAAATTTTCTTGTTTTACACGTAAAAATACGTAAAATATTAAAATATTAAAAATTTTATACATTAATTTGTATGTGAAATTATTTTAAGTTAGCTAAGAAACTAAACGAACGGGCGCGGAAAATTGCGTGGAGTTGTTGATTCGGCCGAACAAGAAAGGCCTGGAGTACAAAGGATTGAATCGGTCGGCCGGGATATATAACGAAACAAGTAACGCGGATGATGCGAGGTCGGAAGAAGAAATTATGTTTTCGCGCCCGTGGCTAGATCTTGTTTACCCATGTTTCTTTTCTTTTCTTCTTTTTTTTTCTATCTTATCGTCGAAAATCGTCGTTCGAGTTCGATTAATAGCCTAAGGTGGATTCGCGCTCAAAACTCCTTACTCGAGAAACGTATCGCGAAATAACCTCGGGCCATCGGCCGAAATCGGCATTCCTCCGATTCAAACGTTTCCATCTCAGAAATATTATCCCTCCTCCCTCTTCGAATATCGTTGTTTTCGCGCCTTTTTTTAACAAATCTACTCAACAAATTTTCGCGACTTTTTTCCATCTCGTTGAACGATATATATTTCATATTTGGTATAGATACCAATTCGTTATTTTAACGGGGGTTTTTCTCTTTCTCCCCCCTCCCCCTCTAGTTTTTATATATATCGGTGAACTCAGGCGTATACCGCAGCACTAGTTTAAATAAACTTTCGAAAATTTTCAGCCCGATGTTTCGCGTTGTTGTCGTGCAAAAAAGCGTGTAAAGCCGCACGGCACCCGCCCACTCCCTCCCAAAACTTTCCACGAGCGCCCTTCTTCAGCGTTCCGTTTTTTTCTCTCTTCGTTTTTCTCTCTTCTTACCATTTTCTCCGCAATAAGAAAAAGATCTATTAAATCTAACTATTAAATACATGCGTGTACACGCGTGTAGAAAGGAGGGAGGGATGTAAAACAAAAGTTGCGTTCCGGATCGATATTAGTTAACATGTTAAACTACCACGCCAAATAACGCAAAACAACGATATAGATTAATATTATAGATTTAATATTCGACAAATTTTCTTTCGTTACACATAAAAATACGTAAAATATTAGAATATAAAAGTTTCATATGTTAATTATCCCGACCGATCGGCCGCAGACTTTTTGTTCATGTTATTCCCGCGCGCATGTCTTTTTGCGTGCTTGTTAAACTGAACATTTAATTTAGATGACATCAGTTTCTGTTTGGTTTGCTTTAAGGAAAAGAATATAATATTTGAAAAATACTAATGTAATTTATCAAAACAAGATAAACAAGGTAAATGTGAGATTTGTTCATTGATTACGATACATTGATACAAAGAAACGGCTGGACGTTTAACTAACGTGTTAACTTAAACTGGAAATTGAAAATTCCGTTTATTTATCCGGCGGTAGTGAAAGAAGCTGAAACGTAAAAATACACACACGTGTCAAGATCTGTCCATCGATTAGCATGATTAAGCTCGTCTGCTTAATTTTGAGATTATCGAAATTAATTCGACAACAAAAAGTTTCGTCCCGTCTTGTTAAGTGAAAATTCGTACGTCCTTCGTCTCTTTCACGCGGAGAAACCGTTGGAAGAAAAAGAAGAGGAGGGGTAAGAGAAGAAGAAAGAGGCGAATTGCGAGAGAGGTGGGGGAAAGATGGCGCGACATCTGCCACGAGCATCCACGTGACCCATTTGTCGCGCCGTCACGGATCGCGCGAATATCTTTCTCTTTCTCTCTCTCTCTCTCTCTCTCTCTCTCTCTCTCTCTCTTCCCCTCTCTCTCCTCGTATCCCTTACCTTGTGATTTCCTAGCTTCCGAATAGTACACGGCAGAACGGCCTCTTTCCCAATAGCCGCGGTCACATTACCGATCGGCTCCGCGAAACTCGGCAGATCTGCAAAAATCCAGCATCCTTGTGTTTTCATTCTCCTGGTTTATGGAATCGTGGTGATGGTGGTAGTGTTTTTTTTTTAAAACGATTCCGCGAGAAGCGAAAAAGAGAAGGGGGGGAGGAAGTCCGACGAATGGAACTCGCTGCTTTTCTGCCGTTGCTTTTCGCTATTCCCCTTCTCCTGTTTCGTTCATTATCCTCGCGTTTCGCGAGCTTCTCGTTAATTTTCGGTCAAAGGGTGTCTCGTTATACACGCAACAACGTTTTCCATTCCTTCTCGCGGGCAACGTTACCAACAACGCGTATACAACTTTTCACCGAAACCCGCCCCATTTAGAATTAGCTCGCCTCTCTTTCTCTCGTGGATCGCCGTTCTTTATCGGCGCGAACACGCGTCGCCACACCAACTTACGGAAGGAGGGGAAAAATATATGGAAAAATGGGCGCGACCCGATAAAATAGGTGCGCGATATTTCGCGTAAACTCGAAACATATTTCACATGGTTTACAAATGGGGAGAGTGCCACGATAGATTCGATAGCCTCGTGATTCGTTGCCCCTCGTTAAAGCGTACGTGACGATGCAACGACAACGATTAACAGCTCGTTTGAGCCGTTATATGATATCAAAGGGAGAGGGATGGCGAAGCGCAGTTTCTGCTCGGCCAAAGACCGCATCCTCCTCCTCTTCCTCTTTCAATTGAATGCATTATGTCGAGTCGATGTGAAAAATGCAACGACGAAAGAAGAAATTGAGGGGGCAAAATATCGATCTCGAGATAGAAATCGAAGGGGAAGACGCGAGAATATTCGCTTATCTCTTATCTCCCTTTACCGAGAGCGCACATGCACTCCTTTCTCCCTTCCTCTCGCTTCGAAAGTTTCTCGATTGAGAATGTCCGAGTAAAGGAGAAATCGTGAAAGGAAGAAGGGCGAAAGGAGACGGTTGGATGAAAATGACGGCGGGTGTGATGGCCACATGGCGCGATATCGCGATAACCGACGAGTCGAAGTTCGAAAATGGGAGGTGCGCGTGATACCGGTCCAACGCCGCCGCGACGTCGCGTTCGAGCGGTGTGCATCGTGTGCATCGAACGGAAAAACGTGAGGCTGCAGCTGCGTCGAGTCGAGTCCTAGACTCCAAGATATATCCGAGTCGAAACTGCTTATGAAAAGAGAGGGAGGGAGGGAGAGAGAGAGAGAAACAGAGAGAGAAAAGAGGTTCTTGCTATTCGAAGAGTTTGGGCCCGGCGGACCTGGAAAACAGTTCCCGTTCCTATTATGATAAGATATTCACCGAGAGAAATAGGGGAGAGAGGGAGGGGGAGAGGGGAGAGAATTTTCAGGTTTGCAGCGTCGGTATCTCGGAACGTAATACGAGGAAAGGTGGAGGAAAATGGCGAGCAAGGAAGGCGGTAGTGGGCGGCGAGGAAGAGGAAGAACACGGAGAAGGGAATGGAGAGCGGCGGTGCACCGAGTCGTGCCTACTCCCCCCTCTCCCCTCTATTTTATGGCTAAATTATTCTGGCAGAAAAATAATTCAATCTCCGCTTCTGTACAGGTTATCGTTAGAATTTTATCCCGAGATATGCTCGGTCGAGATTTTTCCGGGAAACGGAGAGTTTTTTTATCTTTGGACAAATTCGAATACCTTCGATAAAGTCGAATCTGATTTTTCTAAGAGCGATCGTTTTTTTCCCATCACTTTGACTCTGATCGTTCCTGGTCCCTGATCTCGTAACGGCGAACGAAAATGAAATTAACGAGGACAGCGCGGAAACCGAAACGAAACGCTCGACTCGAGTTCGAGATCGTGTTGATATCTTCGTATTTCATTCCGAGCACCGACGAAAGTAATGCGAAGTAAACAAGGATGGATCGATGCGCGGCTATTCGTAAATAAAAGGAAGAATGGGAAAGAAGAGGGCCGTATACGTCCGGCGAAATAATATTCTCCGACCAAGGGATTCGCCCTCTCACTCGTAAATTGGGAAATTTTTCTTCGATAGTTTGGAAACGGAAGAGAAAGAACGCCGAAGATCGAATCGCGAATAGCACGGGTTTGGAACGGGGAGAGGAAGCATCGGTAGAGACAGGATAAAATATCGTAGCGCGATATTTCAGGAGAGATCTTTGCGGGGAGAGAGAGGTTCGTCGCGGACGGCAACTGGTAACGGTCGTCCACGATATCTATCCTGCAATATCTTTCTCTCTTTCTCTCTTTCTCCGCCGCGCGAGGAACAACGTTTTTTTCACGTTACGTACAACTTACCACGAATAAAGGAATCGTTTCGTTTCGCTCGTAAAAATACACATTCTCTATCTCTCGACAAATTATTCTCCCGATGGGTTACTTTTACTATTGAAAGATAGAGACGTGCAATCTGAGAGATGGTCGACATCGCGGTCGAGAGAGAGAGAGAGAAACGCGGGAGAAAAAGAAATACGGCGAGTATCGAATGCGTTTCCCGTTAACTCTCGTCGCAAGGGTATCTCGAATCGACTATTAACGTTGAAGATCCACAGCGACGTGGATTTTCTTCAAACGAGAGTTTAACAAAGTTCCATGTTATTACGATAGAACAGGGAACTTTGAAGATAAGAGGGAGAGAGTACAGAAGGAAGCTTGACTTTCAAGGGAAGGCAACTTCGCTTCGGAAAGAGCAAACATTTCTTTTCTCTTTCTTTTTTTTTTTGGAGCAAAGCTCGGCAAATTTTTATCCCGACGAAAGCATTAATTTGTGAAAAAAAAAGAAAGAAAGAAAGAAAGAAAGAAAGAAAGAAAGAAAAAAAAAGAAGAGATAAAAGTATAGGAATTTCGTGGCACGGTCGCGGCCTTCTCCTCCTCTTTCCCCTCCTCCTCTTTAACTCGCGTTTCCGAGATATTTAAGTTTCATCGCGAAACTTTAGCGAGACGTTGCATTTATTAAATCCTCTGGCATATTTGACGAGTAAATCTGAGAATTGTCGTATCATTGTCGTTATCCCCCGTTTTCAAGAAATAAAGGATATAAAAATCGAGAGAAGGATATCGCGGAGAACGAACGAGAAGAAATGGAAGGAAGGTAAAAAGAGAAAGAGAGAAAGAGAAAGATCCATTTATTAAAGGAACGATATTAATGTTTGAGCTAGTTACACTGAGGCGGGGGAACGGAACGGAACGGAACGGAACGGAAAAGGTATAACGGCAATGAAAACGGCAATGATCGTAAACGTATTTCACTCGAATATAAAAGATTACGTATTACAAATATGTATAGAAAATCAATCTCGTGCCGCCCGCGCCGTTTTAATTAATCGCGCATCAGTTGGAACGAATCGGCCGCTTTCCATAATACGCGACTTTTAATCGCGACTCGCCACGTAATTCGATCAATTTAATTACATTTTCCGCGAACAATATAAATTCACCGTGGCAAGCGATAGATAATATTTGATACGTTAATATCTCGAAAAGTAGGAATCGGCGTGTAAAATGGGTCAGTGCGAGCCAACGAATAATAAAAGCTATTTCACCGCGACGATGGGTACACAAGGCGCAATTATATAACCGTTACGATTAATAAATGCGGCGGGATCGAACACTCGGCGAAAGGATGAGGGAGCCACCATCTGCGGACCGCCCGTTTAAAGTCTCGTTCGACCCTTCCCCTCTCTTCCCTCCCTCTTTCCCCCGTTGGCTCGGTCGTTGCAACGCGTTTACGATGCTTATTAAATTCATTAAACGCACAAATCGCGTATCGAGTATCCGTATTGAAACGCGACCACCTCTTACCTCGATCGTTTCCGTTCCATACCATCGCGTTATTGTACGCGTATTATTTCCTCGTAATCATCGTTATTATTTACTTACTCCAGAAAGAAAACTTTTATCGGAAAAATCGAGTCGACCCTCGGATCCGATGATATAATTTCCGCCGCGAAACTCCGTGGTCCAACACGCGCCGTGGTCCAACGGTTTTTGCTACAAAGGATTCGTTATAAATCTGTACAGCGATACCTCGCTATGGATAATGGTCGAAAAGTAGGTGGTATGGAATGCCCTTTTCTTCTTTTTTTTTATTATTTTTTTTTCTTCCCTTCTTTTTTTTTTTTCGAGAACTGAACTCGTTATCGGAGTTGGGTAACCAGTACATACTATATATATATATATACTATATATATATATATATACACGTGTACGCTATATATGTACATAGGTAGTACCTAGGCAAAGTGAAATGGAGGACGGGGGAGTGGGAAAGGGGAGAGGGATGGAAAGTTAGCATACGAATGCCCAATTGTGTTTGTGGACTGGTTCGTCGCTCTGATTTACATAGTTATTATGATATTATGCAGACGCAAAAGGATTTTTATCATCGTAGCCTGTCTTTGTCGTGAAAAGAAAAAGGAGATAGTACAACTATCGCGTGACACGAGTTTTCTTGTTTTCTTTTTCTTTTTCTTTTTTTATCGCTCGTTCCAATCCGTCGAAAGACGCATGAGCATTCAGAAAACAGGAGATAATTTGAAAGAATTCCGGCAAAAAAGAGAATTGGTTTCAATTGGTTCGAAGAAGAATTCGAAATAAAGGAAATTAGCTGAAACCTCGATGTTAATCTCAGATTTTACGCGTTGCGAAAAGTCTCTCTCTCTCTCTCTCTCTCTACGTCATAAATTTGCCTCCTGTATCTTCCTCTTAATCGGCGTAATTTTTCTCGCGCTTTGTATCCTCCTCGCCATTGTAATCTTCGCCGTTCTATATCCTCCCGTTTTTAATCCCGTTCACCTACCGCTTCTAGAAAATTCCAAATATCGAACTTCGTCTTTCGCTGTTGCTCGCGCCACGGTCTAGATGTTGCAGCTGGGCACAGCTGAATTCCGACCAACTTAACGAATCGATGAATCTCGTTGTACAAGAAACGCCCCCTCTCCCCCGAAACTTGGACGCGGAACGGCGTATCGTAGCGGGCAGAACTAAAGCCGATTACTAAAATAACACTCGAGGTTCCGCAGCAACTAGAGAGAGACAGAGAACGAGAGCGAGAGAGAGAGAGACGATGAAATCCATCCGAACAAGTTGATTCGCGGTTTCGTATCGTGGGAATACATACATACATACATACATACATACATACATACATATATATATATATATATATATATATATATTATTACAAGTTTTTGCAGCGTTTCGCAACGTTGCCACAAACAACGAGATTATTACTATTATTATTATTTCGACCGTTACTCTCCTCTCTTCCACGTTCTTTCAAAAGAAGAAAAGGAGAAGGAGGAGGAGGAGGAGGAGGAGGAGGAGGAGATCGGCTGGCAAACCGGCTGGAAACTGGACGACGACCGGTCGTCGGATGGATATATCAGATCGATCCTGGATCGGGCGAGTTCCCGCGATGGTCCTCGATGGTAAACGTTGGAGAGCGCCGGAGTTGCGGGAGTATTCTCGGTGGGCTAAGCGGAATACGATGGAAAAGCGGATTATAGGGACGGTGTTCGGAATCGCGGGGAAAAGTTGGTCGCTCTTTTACCCCCGATTTCCCACGACTTTAAATTCTCACGGCTCGAATACTCTTTACTGCGAAACTTTATAGAGAGCCGTAAATATACAACTCCTCTCTCTCTCTCTCTCTCTCTCTCTCTCTCTCTCTCTCTCTCNCTCTCCTCTCTCTCCTCTCTCTCCTCTCTCTCCTCTCCCCTCCCCTCCCCTCCCCTCCCTCCCCTCTCTCGCTCGTTCGAACGGCGTCCAAGATGTTACATCGTCCTCCACCTTCTTCTCTCGCCGCGGATTTTCGTTAAGAGGAGGAAGGGGCACGGTTCGACCCTTTACCCTCTGGCTCTTCTTCCGGTTAAAGGGGGATGGGCGGGTAGGAGTAGCCACCGTCAACGACGACTAACGCCGCGATAATTCCATTTCCCACGAATTCGTACTTTAATTAATCGAATTCGCGCCCGTGTCCCCAGGATCTGCCAACCAACTACCATCCTCCTCCTCCTCCTCCTCCTTCTCCTCCCTTCCCACGACAGGTTTCGATCCTGCCGGAAATTAGTAAGATCGCACATGCGGGACACGAAGGTTTTCTAACTGCGCTTTATATACATATATATGTATGTATATATATATATATATATACATATATATATGTACGTGGGCGAATACTTGGACGCGCGTTATTCTCGTCACGCTTCCTCTTCCTTTAATACGTCCTGGATAGACGGTCCTTGCATCGCAGGAAGGGAGAGGGGGAAAAAAGGTTTATTAAAAAGTTTGGAGGATGGAAAATTCGCGAGTAAACGCTTGGTGCCGCGTTGCGCGGGGCGAACGGATTGAAATCGGGATCGTTTTCGGGATCCAGGGAGTAGGAAATATTAGCGTGTTCCAAGCCGTTGAATTCGTTTCAGGAACGAGGGGCGAAGGGAGGAGTGGGTGGTATAAACGAAGGAAGGGCGAAGAAGAATGGGAAGTTGGTGGGCGCGTTGGTGGAAAGTATGCAAGGTGTGCGAGAGCAGGTTCGCGGGGGCGTTCATCCGAAAATCTAATTTCGCCGTGCTCCTTCCATCCGCCGCACGTTGCACGAGTTGTCCTCGAGTTTTCGAAAAATCGCGTCGAACGTGGAATTTTCGACGAGCCGAGTCGAGGAAGAAGACAAAAGAAGCGGGAATTCGCGGGAGTTGGTAAAAGACGACTACGTAACCTCAAACTTCGGCAACTATTCCAGCGAGGAGCGAGATCAGCGTGCGAGCGCGAACACGGAAATTGCGTTTAAAACTTTACTGCGCGATGTATGCGAGGGCTCGCCCGACCTCAGGTTACGCACGTATTATTCCACGCGTGGCACGTGGCACGAGGCTCGGGGCTTAAGACGCGCCAAACTGTCGAATCCCGCGCGCATACCTAGCACGCGTGGTCACGTGCGTCCGCATTACCTGTCGCTAATTAACACCGATCTCGTTGTCTCTCTAATGCGAGCCACGCGAATGCCTCCGATATTAGACGGGTTCGAGTATGCTAACTCCACCCTGATATTATTATGCTGCTCCCCCCTTCAACAACGAAGATCGAGCCACGATCCAATTCTCACGCGGATCGAATAATCTCTCTCGAAGAGGAAAAGAGAAACATGAACGACACCTGTTCGCTTCTTGAGTAATTTTGACGCGTTCGTACGAGTGGAACAAACGTGAAGATTGAAATTAGGAGAATAGGTAGTCAGTTGGCATTCGTAATTCCGCGATGGGATAAGATCTGCGCATGCGCGACAACTGCTTAAACGGTAAACTTGTAAGCGGTGAAATAAAGTTGGAAGCTCTCCGCCGCTCACCGTGTCTGTGACAGTTTAATTAATATCTTTCATCCTCAAAGGGAAAAACTTGGTGAAGTAACCTAGGGCCCCTAGCAGCAAGAGTGGAGCCCGAGTGGAGTTACTTCAACTTCAGGGACACCATCGTCGTCGTCGTTATTCGCGGTTTTCTTTCCTTTCTTCGATGTACGCGCTGCCCGTAAACTTTCTCCTTTCCCACGCTGTGTTTTCGACGAGACTCGAGAACGAAACGCGAGATTCGGAAGATTCTCAACAGCGGCGCCACCGTCTATTTTCGATTCGACGTAGATTATTCTCTTTTGCGGATTTTTATCCTTTTTCTCGATTCCGTCTTATCGCCTTTCCCTTATACCTTAGTCGCGAAGGATATTACGCTCGTTTAACGGTGCGCAAACCTCCGAGCTAACGCGTTATCCCAGTTCCACGATGAATACGTATGATCGTTAACCACTTTATCCGATTTCGCACCGTTCTTCTCCCCCCCGCCCGACCCGCTAATCGACCGAAGTTCCCGAATCAGATCGAAGATGGCTCTCTCCACCGATGATATGCGACGTTAAAATTGAGACGCGTATTAGAGACAAGTTTTTTGAGACGCGTTGTGCGATTCTCTTTCTCTCTCTCTCTCTCTCTTCTCGCGTAATGAAACTTCGTTCTCAACGCGGCGACGCGACGACCGAGACGTCGTTAAAGCCTGACAAAGTTTAAATTAAATTTAACGTACATATATCCTTTGAATCGGAACCTGTTCCTCCAACTTCTCGGCGGAATGAAATCGATTGTTGCCGTAATTTCGAAGTTATCGAGTCGATGAACAAAAACCGTTCCATCGAACGATCGAACGATAATCCGTTCTCATCCGTTTGTTAATTCCGTTCTAATTTCGTTTCCATTCGTTTAAAAGGGTTAAGTAATCCAGATCGCGCGGATGATCAATTCTCCCGAAACAAAGAGCCATTGTCATCGAGATTATCGAAAAGATACATCGTATATATATATATACATATATATATATTTTGATTTTGTATTCTCTCTTTGTCGACCAGCATACGAAATTAATATTATACGAGGAAGGAAACGTTCCTACGTTTTCTTTTTCTTTTTCATTTTCTCGTTCATGAATAAAATATGTATATTCCCATATATATATATATACGCAGGTGACGATTAGTCCTGTAAAATACGAGCAGGACGAGCTCGTCGCTGATAACGCACGACAAAAAACTGTGATCCGGTTCCGTGGCACGAAATAAAAGCAACGTCGCAGCGGGCAATAGGATGAAACCGAAGCCACCGATGAAAAACCGCGATTAGGTGATCCGAACCGAGCCGAGCACCGTCCATCCACCGAGCCAAGTCGCCGCGGTAATTAAACCCTTTGACGTGCGTGCGTACTTGCTTGGACGAGAATTCGAGCATCTCTGTCACTCGATCCTCGAATTCGAGAAAATAAAAAAAGAGAAAGAAAGAAGGAACGAAAAAAGGAAGAGAGGAAATAAGAATAAAAAGAGAAGGAGAATAATTCTCGAGAGTAATTGCCGCGATCGGGCAGCGGAGTCATCATCGGTTTTTGGAATTCGGACCGAGTTAGTTATCACCAATGTACACGCGGGTCGGAATCCTGCGAAATCGTTTCGGTACACGTTTCGCCACCACAATAATAGTTGTAATTCGCGATTCGATTCGCGTAATTAGGGGCGCGAAATTAATTTCGCACATCGGCGAAATCGTAAACATCGAAATTGCAAATGAAAAAGAGTTTTGATCGAGATCGCCGCATAACAACCATTCGCTCTATCATCCATCTTCCCGTAATTAATCGTTCGATAATTCGAGGAAATCGCCTCTCGTTTCTTCTAGATTAGATTCGAAGAGAGAGAGAGAGAGAAAAGAAAAGAAAAGAAATAAGCGACCGATATATGTATATACATATATATATATATATATATATATATATACGTATATGTACGGGTATGTACCTGATAACGTAGGATTCGTCGCAGAGGCGTCCTGGCGCGCGGCGTCGCTGGTAATTGTAGCCCCGCCGAGATTGGTACTGTAGTCTTCGAGAAGTACGTAGCACAGTAATAGCCGTGCCACCCTCATTCTGAAAGTGAAGAAGAAAAAGAAACCTGAACAATAATAATGACTCCTCTCTCCCTCCCTCTTGCTCGCTCCACCCCCTGTTTCGCCTATCTCTCCTCCTACCCCTTTTACCGCTTATTTCTTCCCTCGTGCACCACCATCGGGCCCACCACCGCTTTTTCTCTCCTTTCTTTCCTTTCTTTCTTTCTTTCTTTCTTTCCTTTATCATCACGACTCCTCTCATCCTTTCCAATTCTCGATCGATGACTGATTTGTCAAGCTACTGTTTAATAAACTCGATTTCGCGCACGAGAAGGGAAGGGGAAGAAAAAGAAACTCAAGGGACAATAATTATCTGTTTTACGGCCATTTCGTAAATAACTATCACTCCCCCCCCTCCCTCCTCTCTCTCTCTGACCATTTAACAGCAGCAGCGCAGATTTCAGTGGGAAGCGGAATTTACCACCTCCCAACGAGAAGAACGAGCTTATACGTACGCGCACCCCCGTTCCCTACTCTTATTTACGACGGGACTAAATGAAAAATTCTCTCTCTCTCTCTCTCTCTCTCTCTCTCT